CAGGAATACTACAGCCTGGAAGAACCAACAAAAAAGTAGTGAAAAAGCACTGTGACATCCTCCGGGGAGCTGGCTTTGAAAGGAATCCTTTTTGTGGAGGACAGTGGGTGTTTTCTGCCCTTGCAGATAGAGCCTCACCAGGGGGGTGACCTCTCTCCTTCACCCCCTCAAGTACTTCCTTACATTGGGGGGTGGGGCAGGGACTGCTGGTGGCTAGCAGAACATGATTAGGTGCTCATTAGCTGGCTCATGGGATTTTTTTTTTCTGTCACCCACCACCCCATAGCAGTGGGGGGGTGGGGGATATTATTTCCTTTTGTCTAGGAGTGTCCTATTAGTGTGGGTTTTCCCAGAAAGCAAATACAGTAAGAATAACATCTGGACAAAATGAAGCCTGGGGCTAAAAGGACTAACTAGGGAGAACTGTGGCTTCTGATAAAATATATGATACAGAGAGAGAAAAACTGTAGAGGCACATCACTGTCTGGACTGTGCTGAGATTTTTCTTGACTTGGTTACTAAGCACTGCATTGAAAGTTTTGGCGTGTTCCATCTGTGTGTCTCATTTTAGGGGTTTTTCTGATGTGAATGAAGCAGAGGGCCCCTAAAGTAGGCATGTTGTGTATGCAGCAAGGACATGGTAATACAAACTGAAAGAGCTAGGACACCATATCACACCATACCTGCTCCCCGAGGCCGAGTGCTATGCGACATTTTGCTGCAGATTTCATTTGAAGTTGTCATAATAAACATGATTAACTGTCCTGTTTTGTGTTCAAGCTGTTGATATATATAATCTCTTTGTACTGGGGCAAAGTACAGAAAAGGTGCCTTGCCACAAAGCATGGGGCAGAGAAAATACAGTAATCGCTTCTTTCCGGCTGCTGCTGCTTTGCTTAGACTGAAATATGACTTTATTTTGTTATATAAGGGGGATGGGGGCAGTGGAAGGGGGAAGAAGCTGGAATCCATAGTGGTTAAAAAAAAAAAAAGCGTACTTGGCTCTGGAACTGACTTTGGGTATTGTAAAACTGTTTGCATAGATACCATGGCCACAGCTGTTTTCATGAACTCAGTGTATCTGAATTGTCCTTCTCTAATACAACAGGCTTGGAAATTTTTATTTAAAAGGTGACCAAGCCACAGGAGCAGTTCACTACAGCCAGAGAGCATAGTTGTGCCCTATGGGGCAGAAGGCAGGCAGTTCTCCGATGGGAACCACCAGGTAAGAAATGCTCCTGTTTCCATGTTTTTAGGTGTTAAAGCAGTTACTCTGGTTCCTTGGCATCCTGTGGGTCCCAGCCTTGGTTGCTCGGTAAAGCCAGACACCTGGCTTTGCAAGGAAACCTTAGGAACAAGCGTGTAGCACGCTGGTTTTGGCCAAGGGCTACGCAGCAGTGGGACCATTCTCATGAGGCTGCATGACTTTCTGTGGGCCCACTGGGCAGGAAGCCTCCACTCTGTGTGAGTGCTTCAAGCAGGAGGGAGCAGAGAGCTCGCAGGAAGCTAGGTGAGAGTGCGTGGCCTTCCTTCTGTCAGTCTGTCCTCCTGCAACCTCACAACTCCCAAAAGAAAATGAGGAAAATGGCATTGTATTAACTTCCTTCTGGATGTGCAGGTCAGAGGAGTTGTGTAACAGGACTCAGGAAGAAGCTTCAGCCAGTGCTTCATTTCAAAACAAAACACTAAACCCTCTTGCTTGGACAAGGCACAAGGTTTCTGTGTCCCAGAAACCACATTTACGCAGTGACAGGCTACTTGGCTCATGTGCCACAAATTCATTCCTCGGCAGCAGGTAAGTAAGAGCCCTACATCTTTTAGCACAAGCTAGCCTTTCCGTTACTTCTCCATCCAGCAGATGAGTATCTTAGCTGGAGCAAAATAACATGGGGCACGCTTTCTTGTGTAGAAAATACCATTTATTGTGGATATGAAAATAGCAATCTTGATTAAGAGCAGAGATGCAACAGTAGGTGGTACAATACAATTGGTTTGATCATCTACTGCTCAGCAGTAACTTGCAGGAAGTTGGTTTTTGCCCGTTGTAGATTAACAAATTAGCTGCTGGGTTTTTTTAGTTCTTCCTTCCAAACAAACCAATGCCGTACATTAACGGGTACTGTAAAATGTTATATTTGCAAAAGAAAACATTCATATAAATAGGCTTTTTAGTATCAATTGAAGATTGTATTAAAAAAAAAGTTACATTAATTCAATATTGATAAAAATAAAACTTAGCTTTGCTAGCATATAAAAACGCTTCAAAACAAGCATATATAAATAACTTAATTTGTAAACATAGAAAAAAAATCTTATGTGTATATATAAAAATAAACATCTGATGCACTGTACAATAAGACATTATCCTTCATAGGCACTGGTATTGTTGATCAATAGGAGTCCCCCTAGATGTTTTTCCTACAAAAACTGCTTTATCACTAGTGCCATGTCCAAAATAAAAGGGAAAAAAAAACCCAAACAACCAAAACACTGAGCAAATCGTTTGTGGATTGTATGAAGATTCCCCCTGCTGCCTCCAGAAATCCACAGAAGCAGCACTGGGGACAGCCAATACACGGTGCTGCTTTTTCTGCTCGGTTTTTCTAGGGCTTTTATATACTGCCTTGTTCCCTCTTCCTTTCTTGGTTTCCACCAAAAACGGGAGACTATGACTGGTTGCAAATCTGGAAATCTGTCTTTTTGCTCAGTTGCAGAAAACTGTGAGGGACTGCCCTTTTTTTTTTTTTTTTTTTCTTCCTGGAGGGGCCATGGAAGATGCATGACACTTGAAGTGAATCATGCCACGACTCAGTCTGGCAGGCTTTTAAGAAAAGGCTGAGCCTCACCAAAAGAGAACAGTACTATTTTGGTGTTAAGATTGTAACAAGACCATCTAAAGATAAAGCACACTTGTAAGTGAAAGGTTTTGTTATCCTACCTGGTATAGTTTTTGGCGGGGGGGGGGAGCCTTGGACTGGTATACCTCAAAACTGCTATTTTCTTAAATATAAATTTAAAATAGCTATTATCTTTTCTTTTAAAACTTACTGTATTAATAACAGGAAGTAACATAGAAGCTGAGAGCCAAAATTACACCTGTGCAAAGATATAGTAAAAGTAGATCTTGGCTCTGGAACTCAAAGGTGGGAAGTGTAGCTCACTTCACTGTATGCTGGGAAAACACATCTTTTACTGAAAGTAGCTGTGTTTGTTACAGTAGCAGACGCTTACTCTGGTAAGGTAGATGCTCGAATACATATCTCTCACTTGACAAATTTAAAGTGCAACAGCTTCTTGAACAATGTGGGCTTTTTTGAGCTAAAGATAGCCTATAATAGCAGCTTTTATTGCTTAGATAAGGTAGCTAAAGTGATTCTTTACTGTTGTGCTGAAAGAACTAAATGAAGTTATTCAGACAGGTGAATTCGTTGTGGTTTTGTTTCATTTTAGGAACGTGTGATCAAACTAGGGAGTGCGTTGAACAAATGTGTAAAACCTGTCAGAAGGACTAAGTTCAACAGAAATACCATGATGTAATTGAAGGGGAAGAGTCTGTATTTGCTGCAGTGAGACAGCTGGTTGTGTTACAAACAGAGACGTGCCATAAGACTATGACCAGGCTGGATTTTCAACTCCCAATGCATTTGGGTAAAAGTGTAGAAGGGCTGATGGAAAAAGCTGGATCTACTCTTATTTGCAGGATTTAAATTCTAGAAACAAGCTGATGACTCAGTACTACTCCCTATTAATGACAAAGTGTCACCGTTTACAACTGTCAGTTTGGTTTCTTTATTTCAAAGCACCTAATTAATTCTGCAGTGCAGTAAAACTGTGTCCTGAGGTGTGGTGGTTTCCACTGATGCTGCATAGTGTAGTGGCAATCTGAAATACCTTACACTGGCTGCAAGTTGTCAGCCAATTACATGAGAAAAATCTATTCAGGGTAGAGGATGACTAGTGGATATCATGCTGTTTTAACTTCCCTTCTCAAGGGGAAGTATAGCCAGCTAGTGAAGTTAAATGATTTATCTACACTGTTGGGAATTTTGCATTTGCTACTTATCTCAACATTCGAAAGTGACTTTGCAGCTCTACTCAAGAGCTTGTAAAAGGTCTCAAGCCATACCTGTACTGTTTCCAGTTTGTAGTGCGTTTCATTGCTTCCATCGCCTTTTTCTCACCACTGCCTAAACTTTCTTAAAGAAGGTTGATCTTTGAAGCTTCTTGGAAACAGAAATGAAATAATACACTTCTGCATGTAAGATGCTGGCTATTGTAAAGCAAAGTGGCTTCCTCTGGTCTTCATAGAGACAGCAGACCTTCCTGCTGTTCCATGGAGGATTTTCACAGCCGTCTCCAGGAAGACGGGTTCCCCCTAAAACTTGCTGAGTTTCTTCTGAGCAGCATTGGCTAAAATAAATGATCCTTTTTTCTAACTATACTTAGCAATTAGGATATTCAAGTGAGGCTCGATTGTCACCGCCTTATGAGCCAGCATTTTACATGACACTTAGAGATGCTTGTGTCTCTGAACTTCCAGCTGCTGTTCAGTGTCCAGAGTTGTACCAGACACTAACTAGCTAGGAAGTGTGCCAGGCGAGCAATCACCAGTGGCTGCCGCTTAGCAATGGAACTCAGGAGCCTTGCGGGGATGGCCGGGGCACCAAGATCCACCTGCAGGAATTAGAAGAAAGGCCACATATGTGGGGGGTTTGTACCCATTTTTGAACAAAACACTTCTCTCCAGCCTGGAACAGCACTGATGTTGCAGTATGTGTTAAGCACAAAAGCAGTTTGGAGTCAATTGCTGCTGTTGTTACTGTGTGGTTTGTATCTTTCCCTTCCCAGTACTCCATAGACTTTCAAAGCTTTGCGTATTTGATGTTACTTTCAGCACTGCTTTTGAGTTTGAGCTTAGATTGAATATTACTTGTTTGAGACAGACGATATAGTGCTACTGAAAAAGTATATGCGTATACTAAAGTGCAATATAAAATGCCTATAAAATTGTAAAATGCATATGCATTACATATATGCATTGTAAAATACATATACTAATTACTATAACTTAAAGATAATATTTTAAAAATTGTATCTTAAAACCCATGTTTTATATAGATAAGTTTAAAGGACTAATTCCATTTAGCTCTCAGATGAGCACTTTACAATAAATTATACATTATGGTAGTCTCTTCTGGACATTTTAAAGTACTTGATACCCCTGTCTTAAAGAGAGCCTACTTTTCAGATGAGTCTGTAATAAATGGATGGCAGCATTTTCTTATTCTTAACTGGAATCCTAATCTTGACTTCTCTTCTGTATCTATTACGTGTGAAGAATTAATGACTTCAGTTACAGAAAGTAGTCCTTTGCATTTTGAAAATAATATAACCCAAGTGGACTTCCTGTGTCTACAGCAAGAAGAAAATGCAGATAAGACTCTCCAGTCTCTAACACTGGCTATAACATTACAGTAAAATTGCTAATAAACCTTTACGGTGGAGTCTTGGTATCCCACGGGAGCAGCTTTAGCTGCTGTAAGAATGGGATCCTGTGCTTAAGCACAAGCCTAGTAAGATTGTCTCTGCATTACCATACATCATGCTCTATAACAGTGTGAAGTGGAGGTGACTTTTATGGTCACTTCATAAACTTCATGGAGCATAGCCAAAGGCTTACATTTTTTGTTACTTACCAGCTCTTAGTGTTCTGATATGTAATGGCTTTTTGCATTGACCATTGGATATACAGCAAAATCTTACCTGTGCCATGTAAATAACTCTGGTGATATCTCTTCCATTCACTACATCAGGTTCCAGTATCCAAGCGCTTGGCAAAATCTCCCCTCTCACCACTTCTTTACAAGGGTGAGGCATGGTTGCATCATAGACAGACTGAATAGCCAAGACAGACAAGTTCTCCTGCATGGGACAAAGTGTAAAGATGACAATTTGAAAAAAAATAATTCATATAGTAATGTTTTCTTTGTTTGCCCTGATGTTTCTCATCTTACTTAAAAGAGCTCTTTTGATAAGAAATTATATTCCTGATGTTATTTATTTTTGGCATAATCCTGCATGTTTGTAACCAGAATCTACTATGTAACATTTATGTTACTGCCTAACAGGGCCTGGCTGATGATTGTCATTCATAAGAGGGTTTTAGACATAATTCAGTTGTCTCATACCAGCCTGGCTTTTCTTCCTGTCATACTGTCACTTCTGGAAATACAAGCACGGACTTTACTTCCTTCTCTCCTTTGTCCTTGCACCATGAGTTTAGAACAATTACTCCTCTGTGCTTCAGAGAGAATGTTCACTTTACCTCTTTGGCTTCTACAGTAATGCAGCAGAAATCCCGGGGTTGCTTTAGGTAACACAGGGAGGTATCGGTCACTAAATATACTGTGGAGAAAAAACACCCAAAAACAACAAAGGAGAATTAAGACTTTGACAACTTTAACTTAAAATGCACATTTTATTTTGACTTCTTGTTGCCTAAGAGCAGAGCTCTAGTTAATATGCTCTAACGTGTCATTAAGATGCTTTTTCAAGCCACTTACTTAAGATTTATTTTGCCTTTCAAACCACTGTCTCAAGCTGTACTTCTGCAGCAAGATGTGTTTACTATTGTCCTTACTTTGCAAAAGTCTTGTAAAACTGAAGTTTCCATCTTAAGTAACAAAACTGTTTATTCAAACCTTAAGAAATAAAATAAAAGATGCCTCTAAGTTTCTTCCTGGATTCAACCTGAGCTGAGAAAGCACGTAATGATAATGGTGGCTAGTGGTTTGTGTTGATACTCACCCAGCTGAATGTGGCTGGTTACCTTCTTGTGTATTCGGGCCGTGTTGATAGTTCTGTCGTACAGATGCCTTTTGCCAGGATCTCTGACTAGTCCCCACACACAGGGAAGAGGTCTTTCTATCACTCCTGCTCCCAGAAACCCGTGCCTTGTTGCCGAAGGGAACACTTTGTAGTAAACCAGCACCTCTTTTTCTGTACACTGATACCTGTCAAAGAGAAATGAAAAGTATTTGCACACAGGAGGGCCAAGTACATAAAAAGGCCTCCCATTATAACGACCTGCCATGAACTTACTTCCACCCAGCTGCTGCTTGGCATGTGTAGAGGTTCCTCAGGTTATGAGAGCATGCTGCCATTACCTTAGAAAACAAATGTACTGGTAAGAGAAAGGTGTATAAACTAGAAATTGTGTTCAGCTTTTACATGCTGCTACACTTATCTTCTCTACTCAAACTACTCAGCTGGCTTTACCACAAGTGCTTAATCTTTAGGGAGTATTTACAGCCAGACTGATGTGTCTGTCATATTCTCTGCTGAAGGGAGATATATACAGAGAGAGATTATATATACATATATATAAAAACTGAAGCCTTTATAGCAGCCTAAGCCATTGTGAGAAAATGGGAGATGGAGGGAGCATGTGTCTCCAAATGATGTTGAAATGATTCTACCTGATCTGAAGTACAAAGTTCTTATGCTTTCCTTCTAACTGCACACCCACATCTTGTCATACACAGACAGGTAAAACCTGCACTGTCGGAATTCTTGGGACACTAGAGTTCAGCAGTTTCACCATTTCAGCTAACGTCAACAGTCTCTTCCGAACCCCACTGCTGCAGCCTGGGTCACTTTCCCTCGCCATTTCAAATTTTTCAATGTGTCTCTGGCAAATAGGAGACTATTGGCAAGATCAAGGCTTGTCCCCACCCTTTTTTGCTACAGCTTCCAGTAGGACGTACAGAAATAAATGAAAACTGCTTATTTACTCACCTCAGTGGTAGCATTAGCCAAGATATGTTTGGATAAATCTTGGTAGCCTTTTGTTGAAGAGGAGCTGACAGAAATAGTTAATCCATGAGTGAACCTACAGCTGATGCTACCAGAAGGAAGGGGTGGCTGAACTCTGCTGGCTTCTGCAGGGAACAAAAAAGCCATAAGGGAATTAAAAAAAACCCAACAAAACAAAACCCCGAACCAGAAAGGAAACCCACCACTATTCTGCAGCTGCAGGGACTGAAACCCTTCACTGGAGCGCCCAATCCACCTGAGCCTGATGAAGGACTAGTAACATCCCTCATCTAGACAATCTGTGTAGTGGTAATTACACTGCAGTTACATCTAGCGTTACTCAGGGTCAGGGTTAATGGTTATTACTACATATAAGCTAATAAAATAACCTAAAGAGGAATAGGCAACATCAGTCTTGAGGATAAAAATAAGAACTTGCATGTACAATCCTATATTCGTTGCAGCTTTAGCCCCCCCCCCCGCTTCCTGGGTTCAAAGCATCATCCTCAGAACACTGTACTCAGATGTTACATCAAAAGACCAACTTCAGAGGGACCAAATCACCATTTACTTTTTCAAGGAATTCTAATCAAGCTCTGGCTACTGGTTGACAGTATTTTTCTGAGGTCATGTAATGGTAGACACATCCTCAAAATACAGAGAATCAAACTAGATTTTGATTTGCATAAAAGACAAATCTCATTAGGCTTTGGGATGCAACTCAAATATAAGCAGATGTATGTTTTACTTACCAAATGTTGAATCCTTCTGTAGTTGCTCTAACACATAAAGATGACTATTTCTAACAGCTGAACGACCTCGTGTATCTCTTGAAGGGAGAGCATTCCCGGAAGAGACCTGATTTAAGACAGAGCAGAAGCGTGAGCTTTTGGTGTGATCTGGGGAAAATAAATTATGTTACATAGCAAGTGGCACATTTGTAGCAAATCTGCCTTAAAAGGTTGGAAGCTTCTCTTTATCATCAGGTAACTCCTCTGTCTTTCCCTTGGTTATGAAATGATACCGTGACTCAGGAAATCTAGCAAACCAAGTGTGAGGAGCTAGCACAGGTGCTTACTCCAAAAAGTAACTTCAGAAAGGTCATGTTAACACGCACAAACTCTTAAGTCAATGTGTGCATCATTGAGGAAGGCACACTGAGAATATCACATTCTGGTTTATCACAGGAAAAGGCTTGTTTCTAAAACATTTGACAGACAGTGGCATTACTGACAATAGTAACACTATCTGGTGTTTATGAGTAAAAAAAAAAAACACTCAGAAAAAGAAAAGAATCTCTCTCCTTTGGTAATGCTCCCTCTACCCCGTTGTCACCTCTCTGGGTACTAGTGACACAAACTTGTCCTGCTTGATAGCTGTGACAATACGAACCATTTCAAAAAAGGTTTCTGTTCCTACATTATCTCTCTGTTATTGTCAAAGCAGCAGGAGACATTAATCTCACAGGCCAGTTGTTTCTCACCTGTCCTTCCTGGCTGCTGAGGTTACTTGCAGTATACGTAGCAGTATTACTGCTGTTGTAACCAGATGTTGGGCCAGAGGAGAGGCTGAGGCTGGAGTCTGTACATAAAGTGCTTGTACTTGCAAGAGTCTTCAGCCTTGCTTCCTCCTGTAATAGGTATCACAGTATTACAAACAAAATGCCACACAAAACTTGCCTTGCACAACAGATAGTCAAATCAATGATAATGGCACTAAAAGATGAAAGAGGAATAATCTAAAGAAGTCCAATTTCTTTCAAGGAATGTTGACAAAAGCTGTTGCCATACAGAAAGTATTGAATAAGGAGGCTCATTTGAAATACTAAGATTATATGAGCCATAGAGTGAACCACTCCTGTAATACCTGGCAGCCTGGGAAAACACAGCCTGTGCAGTTGTTATTCTTCACATACGAGAGTCCAGGCTATCAAACCAATGCTAGGATGTCTTTTAGGGGAAAAACTTTAAAAAAAAAGCTCTCTCTCCAGTCCTGCTTGTTGCTCTTTGCCTACTTCTTGAGTAGCCCCTAACTGAACTTGCTGGTCAAATGTAGTTGTTAAAGACTGAAGATTTTACTTTAACCAATGAACTACTCAATGCCAGCCCTGAAGATGAAATAAAAATTACATAATAAGAAAATACTGGCAACGTCAAGATTATTTATACTTTCAAGGGCAGTTCTAAGTTTGGTTTTCCAATGGAGGTGAAGTACATCTACATTTCACAAGAACAAACAGCAGCAGATGTGGTAAGATCCAGTGGAGATGCCTGAATTCAAGGTGCCTTAAAGGGTTCACCACGTTTTGCACAACATACAGATGTATGAGGAGAGATGTGCAGCTACAATTGAAGCTGCATTGTCAGGCAGTGGCAAAGATTGCTGTGGAAAAGTATAGCTGAAAACTGGGCACAACAGACACATCCTAACAGCGTATTGTCCTTGCATCTGGGAGAAATAAATGCACACATTGGACTGTTCAAGATGGGTAACAGCACAGAAGAAAAAAACAAAAGTATGGGGCAAACACACACACACAGAGGACAATCTAAAAAGAGAAACACAAAAAAGAAAAGAATAAAGGTCTTTGTGTTCAAGTACATACCGAAATAAACTCAGTTTACCTTAGTAAAACTCTTCCACAGCCTGGGCAGATGCCCCACAGAATCGCTGGGTAAGCTCGATCCAATGAGAAAACATTAGGAGTTTCTTGTACATAAAATATGGCTTCATGAAGATGTACTTCAGAAGCATGAACAGTATTGGGTCAGTATTACTGAGATTTTTTTTTTAAGCACAAATTTGCATTTAATTATTTGTTTTTTCTATGCTGATGCGTATCAAACAGGAGAATTATTTAGCCACGGAAAAGTTTATTTTAAAAAAATGCATTGATGTGAATAATGACTAATGGTTTCCTCTGTAATGCTCACCTTCTGTAACTGAGTAAATATTTGCTCCCGTATCCGCCTTTTTTCTTGCTCAGCTCTCTCCCGAAGTTTGTCCCTAGCTCGTGCAATTTCGGTTTTGGTTTCCTCTCGTGCCCTCTGGTAGTCTCGGAGCAACAGTTCAATGTCTGAAGGATGCTGAATGCTGCTTCTTTTTGGTTCTTGAACTCTGTAAGTGGGGGAAAACACACATAATTACTTGAAATCGGGTCACCTGACAAAATAGCATGAGAAAATCATCTTCGAACAGGAAAAGCAATTAAAAGCCACCACATTAGCATCCAAAAAGTTTCTCTTTGCTCACTAAAGGCTGCATGGACATTCACCTTGGAAATTGCAAGTCCAGTTCTACCACTGAGATTACTCCAGCAATTGCACTGGTTTCTAAGTTAGCTCTCTATACAATCTAAGGTTACTGCTTTGGTGTACCACCCGTGAAATAATTGTGTTGGGAAGACCACTGTCTCCTGACCTACTGCAAAGGAAGCAAAAGTAATTTAGGGAATATGGTGGGGAATGAGAAATTCTAAATGGTGAAGAGTTGCAGAACTTTTTTGATATTTAGATGAAACTTAACTATTTCATGTGGCTTTTAAGTTAGTGAAAGAATAAGAAGAGAGATTGGTCTGTAATGAATGAAGACCCAATACTTGTCTGTCCCCATATATCATACACATAAAATAAGTTAGACTCTTGTTATGGACTGAAATAAACTAGACAGAAGATTGCAATGAATGTTTTCTAAAATCAGGCACACGTTTTTCCTGAAAGCACTTTCTATCCCAAAGTTTAACAGTTCTGCATTGAGAAGAAGAATTCTGCCACAGAAGTCTCGGATGTCAGTAAGAACCATCAATGTTCACAGTTCATCATTGTGAACACTGTTAATGTACATCAGGCCGAAAGAGAGGTTTCTAATGCCCTACCTGGTATTTTCTACCACATCTCTTCTCAATTGTTGCAGGTATTCTCGGCGTCTGCTGGGAAGATCCAGATCCCTCTGACTTGCATCCAGCGTCTGCAACAGGCTCAAATGCTTTTGAGGACTCAGACTTCGGCTTCTTTGGTATCTTTGCAGCCTTTTTTCTCTTTCCTTCCTCAGAGTTTCAATCGTCCTCATGTGTCTGTCAGGGAAACATGATCAGGGTGACAAAAGGCACCCTGCAAAGTTACATCTTCTGATATTTTAAAACACTTAAATATTAGGTAGCTTTATAATATAAAATTTATAGGAATCTAATACCGTACACTCCCCTTGCAAATACGTCTTTGGCCACATGCTGACAGATGATGCAGAAATTCTAAGACTCCACTGCTTTTGTAACAGTAGGAAACATGTAAGAGGGTTTTGGTTACTGCTTATAATGGCCGAGAGGTAAATTTAGGACAGAAACTAATGTAGCTACTCTAAATAGTTTAGTTACAACAGCTTCCTAAACCGAGTTCTATAATCCAATTGCAAGAATCCAGAATCTTGATTTTTTTCATAATTTATTTTGTATATTTACGGGGTTTTAAAATTTGCTTTTGCATGTTCATAGAGTAGCATTTATTCACAGAAGCATGAACGAGATATTCCCAGAAACAGGATGTATCGATTATTTTTACATTGCAGTAAATCAATGAAATATATTCCCATGATCACCAGGTACACCTGATCACTCTTATAGCTGCTAGAAATCTTAAGAGTGGGGTGACACTAGATTTGAATTACACCAAATCTTATACTTTTTGTCTTAAATGCATTACTTAACTGTGTATAAAATAAGCTTAATACTATATCTCTTCACATATAGTTGACTCAGTGCGACTAAGTGATTAAGTGCTCATTACTAAATGTTTCTATGGTGCATGAAGTGTACGTGAAGTGTATTCAAAATACTTACTACAACACTACTTTAAGTAATTTACCTTTCATAAAGCTGCTGCTTCACTGGAATTGCCACCAGATCATCTGTAGTTCCGCTCTGAAGGACCCTCAGCAGGGCGTCTGTTTCCCCGATGCCGTAATTGAGCTTTGCTTCGGTCAGTTCTACAGTGAGGGGATGCTGATGCAGATCCAGGTGAATGCCGGACATGATCTGAGCACGCTCTCTCTGAAGTCTCTCGATCTCTCTGCTCCTGCTGTCACGAAGCTGGGATTTCCCTTCCGTTTCTGTTGCTCGTGTGCTTCTAGGTTTCTTTTCTGCCTGACTTCGTAAATCGGTCACACTGCCACTCAAGCTGAGTAACGAAGGAGGAGGGCTGCCCTTAACACCACACCAGTTGCTAAATTTATTGTGTATGGGTAAGTCACGGAGACTGTAGCTGCGAGGCCTGTAAGGCTTTGCAAAAGTAGTATTCTTGTTGAGAGGAATTTCAGTGTCACATTCACTTTCAGTGACAGAATTCGTATTGTCGTCTTGGAAGGAAGTTTGCACGTCGCTTACATCGGAGAGCGGGGGAGGGCAGCTGTTTTCATTTTTCCAGAAGAAATTGTGAAATTGTAGAGAAGATGCTTCTACCAGAGGTTCTGAGGGCGTGTCAGCATTTGTCTTACTTGAACAAGTGGCACTAATTTTTTGATTAAAAACTAAGTCAGGATTTGGAGGTGAGTAGTTATGAATCAAAGCAGTATCAGAACAACCAACATATTTTTCGTGTCCGATTCCAGCTGAAGAACCTCCTCCTCCCCTTGTGACATACAGACAACGAAGTGAACGTGCCAGTGGACTGTGGTCTCTGAGATCACCTCTTAAAACTTCCCTGTGGCCTGACACCTCCAACATACTACTAGAGTGATACAGTCGTTTTGCACAAATGGTAGTGTGGGTGTCAACCGTGAGTCTATGCTGCTGTTCCAAGTCTTTTGAACCACCCTGTCCTAAAAGCTCTTTGGCTGCTTTCTTATCTGAGAAACTTCCAGATTTCTTTCTTATGCCCTTATGTTCTCTAGAAGTGCTCGATTCACTGTCTGTTTCTGTCTGTGAAAAATTGTCCACATGAGGTTGCATGCTGGACTGTGGACCTGCCCTCTGCTTTCTCTGGTTGTGAAGAGGACTTGAAGCATCACTGGAATATCCAAGAGGTTCCTTAGTAGGGCAGACAGACTTGCTAAACACAGTCTGGCTGCTGGGACTAGCACTAAGAGTAAGAATAGGTGAAGAGGCCCTATCGACTAACAGGGTGTTTTTGTAACAAAATTTTCTTTCTGCTGGAACCTCCAGTTCACTGACACTTCTTTTATCCTGAGTGGAAGATGCTGGAGATTGAGAGGTGCTATTAGTAGGACTGCTAACTACAGTGCATGAAGAACCATCTTGCCCTGAACTTAGCGAAGATGATGTGACAGATGAAACTCTGGTACTAGCAAAAGCAACATTCTGCTGTGCATTTAAGGATGTTTTTTGAAAATCTAAGATAGGAGTGGAGGTTCTGGCCAAGAAAGGCAGACGCATAAAGGAGTCTTCCAAAATGCTGTCAAGACTGTCATGGAAGTCAGGATTGCCCAGATTTCTCATCCCTGTTCGTTCTTGTGTTCTTTCTTCAAGAAGGAGTGATTCGTTTTTCCTTTTGGGAATCTTACCTACTGCATCTGCACGTATTCCTTTCCAATCAATGTTTACTGCCTGAGCTGCCCTCAATTCATTTTCCGTTTTTGCCTCCACTAGCTTTTCTTCATGTTTGCTTTGAGGTTCTTCCAAAATCTCAGTTTGAGTGCCTACATCTGCTGTAGTCTGAGTGCAGCTATCTGACCTAGCAGCCTTTACAGGCTCTTCAGTTCCTCTTTGGTTGATTTTGGCATTCTGCTCATTATCTATAATACCCTGTTGGGAGAGGTTTCCCAACAACTCAGAAGTGTTCTGAAGAAGCTGTGACAGATGCATGGACAGGTTCTGCATGCTTGTCCAAGAAGAAGGTTGATGAAATACATCTCTCTTTGTTTCCTGCTTTCTTGCAGAAACATCCGTATAGCTTCTCTGATGTCTTCTCTGTCTTTTATACCTTCCTGTAGCTGCTGTTTGTGTTCCCTGCTCACACGTAATCCCTGATAGTTTTTTGGAAGACCTTTCAGACTCAGAAGGATATAATAGTACAATTTCATCAACCTGCATTGAAGAGTTACCAGGTTGTGCAGAAGGATTCTCAAATTCGGCAGTGTTATTTTCTGGATTAGTTTCCAATGTTTCACTGGATATGTTACTATGCTGCTTGGTACCATCACTTGAGTATGCAGATTGAAAGTCTTGTCTGACATTGTCCCATCCTTGAAGACCTTCAATGCTGCTTAAAGTGCTTGATAAAACTTTTGCAGTAGCATATGAACTGAGATGAGAATGAAAAGGAGAATTTTGAGAATTCAATCCATTGTCTACACTGGAACATCTCATAACTTTGCGATTTTCCAGGTTTAAAGGAATTTGATTGCAAGAGACATCACTAGCACTTCCAAAAACATACTGTTTCCAGCCAATCTTGCATGATCCATCTTGTTGCCATGGATGAATATATGGGTTGATATCACTTGAACTAAAATGCATTGTATCTTTATTGTCTTGCAAAAATAAATCTGTTTCTGGCTGGTATCCAGCTTCTTCAGCTTTCCCTTCACTACACTGAGCTACAGAACTACTCTTTGAATGGACATTTGCTTCTGCACCCACAGAACTGTGAGCTGTGTGCAGTAAGGATGATGGAGATTGAGTAGTACAGTCTCTTAAAGACTGGCTGCTTTGGGTTCTCGCTGCAAAATTTTGTAAGTTTTTAGGACCACAGTTTGCAAGCTTTTTAGTTTGTGCCATTCTTTGCTGAAATCTGGGTTTAGATTTAACCTGTAGAAAGTTCTTTGATTCCTGCTTTGAGAATCTTTCAATTCCATGAAGATCATCTTCAGTTGGTGATGGAGGCTCTACACTCATATTTAAATCTTGTAGTGATTTAGATGCAGAATATAACAAAGGATCTGCCTTAGATGAAGCTTCCAAAGTATATTCTGTATCAGAGAAGACAGCAATAGCTGGGGCTGACAGTCTGTGACTTTGTAAATAAGGTCTCTGTTCACTTTGTTTACAGCGCTCTGTATTCTGTGTAGTAGAATATGATCTTTTGCTCCTGAATTGCACCAGTTTGGATTCTTGAGGAGGCAAATCATGGTTTTCTGGTAAGAACTTTATGGAGGTACTTTCATTCTTCCTTACAAAAAACTTTAGTCTTTCTGATTTCAGAGTCTTATTCCTTATTATAGCATCTCCCATTGTTGAACAATTATCTGCATCAGCATGGCTATCAATGCTTGAACCTGTATTGTTTTGGCAAAGTACAATCTCTTTTCTACCATCTGTATTCGTTCTATCTTGCACCTGTTCTATCTGTTCACCTGTAGGCACATACTGACAATTATCTTGCAGATCTGCAGGTTTTTTTTCAAAACCCAAGACAGTGTGATACAGTCGTCTGGGATCAGTGCTTCTGCTGTATGTGGGATATGTTGGACTAAATGAATTGCAGGTGTGTTCAGGATCCACATCAGCATCTCCTGGATTCAACACTGTAACTTCTGAGCCTGTTAATTCATTTGCAGAGTTTGAGAATACATTAGTTTGCTTTTCAACAGGTTCTCTACTTAATGTTTTTCTCTGCTCTGTCTTTACTGCAAAATGTTCAGCCTCAGTATTTGAATGCAGTTCTTCCTCATTTCTGTTAAGTATTTTTCTCATTTGTCCATCTTTAACAAGAATTGCCCTTCCAGTATCCCAAAAAGGTAATGATGGTAATAAAAGAGAATTATCATTTAGGACTTTCTCTATGTGTTCTGTGCAAGCTTCTTGTGGTGGAACTTTACCCCAGTGGTGCTGATCAACTTTTATATGATTGTCAAATTTTGTACAATTACTTCCATATACAGGTTCCCCATCTACAGCAGAATTTTTATATGAAGTAGAGTCTGTGTCTGATACTGGACAATGCCTGTTTTCTTTTGCAAGAGAAAGTAAAATACTTCCTGAAGCATGTATTGGCTCATCGAATACCACAGCCTTATCGGACTGAGTGTCTTGTATTTGCAAAACAGCAAATGGAGAATGTTTCAATATACTTGTATGTGAAATATTGTATGTGCCAGTTTCACCATGGTCTATATCTGCAGTTAAAGAAGATTCTGAAAATGGTGTTAAGGATGGGTGATTGATGCTTACAAATGCTTGGGGAAAATCTCCTCCTTCTACAGAGCACACATCTGCAGAACTGGAGGACACTTGCTCAGTCAAAAAATCATCTTGAAGTGAGTCCTCAAGCTGACTAAATATTAGAGATTTTGAGTCATCAAGTAAACAAGAAGTGTCAAAAGGACTGAAGTTCTTGGAGCTTTGAAATGGTGTATCAGTTGGAGTATCTTCTGCAAAGTAGGATGGAAGAGACTTCGATTCTTTACTGCCAGCCTGTCCTCGGCTCTGAAAAGTAAGCAAGCCCGATTCTGGCACAGTCACACTAGAAGTGTTACTGTAGTGTTCTGAGTACTCATTAATTTTATTTTCTTTTATGTCATTGCAATTCTGGAAAGAACCTTGAATTATTTTCTCCTTTTGATCTGTTCCCACAACTTTTTCAAGGAGTTTATTATTCTGAGCATATGTGGCCTCTGCAACTGAAGAATTATTTTTCCTTTCATCTCCTTCTTGAGAAACATCAGGAAAAGTTACAGATACATTTAAATCAGCTGATTCACTTTCAAAGTATTTTGTTTCTTCAGAGAGAACAGCATTTCTTTTACCTTTGTCTCCATTGCTGGCAATCAAAACATCTGCAGATGATGCTGGACGATTCAGGAGACCAAGAGAACATTCAGAATTTCCCAAGTTCCTATTATAATTTAGAAACTCTTTACTATAATGTGGATTTTCCCATGGAGACTTGTTCAGGCCTTCTGAAAGGGCTGAAGTGTTCTCAACGCTGCCTGGCTGGTCTGTGCAGCGCTCTTCAGAAGTCCTGTGTCCCCGATTTTCTTTGGGCTCACATTGATATACAGCTACACCAGGAAACTCTGCATTTTTATTTTTACTGTTTGATGTAGTATGGCTTGTGCTTAAAATTTTCTCCTTCTCATCATGCTGTGTTAAACTCCTTGAGTGAAGTACTTTCTGAGTTGTATTAATATTGTGAAACACTTTTTGCGAAGAGATTTCTAGTAAAGAATGCATTTTTTCCACCCCTATATCTTCCATCACTTCTTTCTCTGAAGAAGAAAGCAGGTTTGAATTATCCAAGAGCAGTGAATCAAGCACAATGGTACCCTTTTCCTCTTGAGCTGTATCTTCTATGGAGTTAAGGCAGTCTTTTAATTGTTTATTAATCATTAAACCCACACCATGTTCTTCACGAGTGTTGTTAACATCCTGAATTATATCTTCAGAAAAATCTAATTTTTCCAAGGAAAATGAGTTTACTTTGGCCCCTTGCTGAGGTACAACAGTTTCAGACTCAAGACCATCTGCACTGTAGGGAGTGGAAGAGCTGTTCTCATTGACAAGATGCCCAGATACAGCATAATCAGGTGCATTGTTAAATGCAAAGGATTCTTCCTCCTGCCTGTCCTGTGTGGTCCCGGTGTGCAGAAAAGCTACATTCTTACTTTGCATTTTATCAGAAAGATACTTGTCTTCTCCCATTTTGTTTACAGGCATACCAACAGACACCTCACTCTCCATTAATGTTTCATAGTAAGGCAGAACAGCTCCAGTTCTGAGAATGCTGTTAGACAGTTTTGTATGTCCTTTCAGTGCAGTGGGAACATCTTGAACAAGATGGGAATCATCACTTACTCCAAGATATAAAAGGTGATTTACAGACTGGCATGGGGAGTCTTTAAGTGAACCTTCTTGGGTTTGTTCAGTAGACTTCAGTGTTGCTGGTGGATTTTGTTGCTTCCTGGTATCTTCATTATTTCTAGAAAAGCTGGTAGACACCCACTGGCTTTCTCTTAAGATTTCATTTAATCTGCTGTCATCATGTCTCATTTGGCAGCTGTCTTTGTTTTCAGGGAATAGCTCATTCAGGTTTTGTAAAATGGTCAGTTCTACCTCCTCTGTGTTTTCTACAAACATCTGCTTTTCTTTGTCTGTTTTGGCCATTTGTACTAGATCCATCAAATGTACTTGCTCCTTCTCAGCTCTGGAGCCTGCTGGATCCAATTCACAAATATCAGATCTTTTTCTAACTATACTTGCATTCAAGTTTTCTGAAGTGCCATGCTCAGGATATTGCATAGAGCAACTCATATACATATGGCTGTCCTCTTTAACGTGCAGACTTTTCAATTCTTGTTCAATTCCATACTGGTCAACACTGGTACTATCATCAACTGAATATTCATATGCATCGATATCTTTCATGACTGCATTTCTTGTATCTGTAACAGAGTCCACTGAGCCACTGTCTTCACTCATTTCAGTAGGACCATGGTATCTTGAATCATCTTCTAACAGTATATTCTGTTCTAGTCCTGAAGCTGTCAGGTATCTTTCAGGGATCTTAAACTGATTTAAAATTTCCTCTTTGTCATCCTTGTCACAATACACCTGATGTAGAGCTGGAGACTCTTCCGTAAATAAAACATTTTCATCTGTGCGTATGACTTCTTGCCTCGTAATAATCAGCCCCTCAGTGTTTGTCACAATAATTTCTTCTTCACTCCCAGTCACTTCACATTCATTAACCTTGTCTTCCTGGGCCAAACACTTTGGTACACAATGTTCAATTAAATTGCTAGAATTTACTTGTCCTTCACTTTCAGGTTTTGCTAAAATATTTCCTTGCCTACTTGTGATTAGTACGGTTGCAGCTACGTCCTCTGTATTAAACACATTCTCTATTGTTCTGTTCATTTGTAAAAGCCCCTCACAAGTATCAAGGAAACCTGAAGTATTCTGAGTAATATCTGTTGTGTGGGAACGCACAGCTGAAGGAGTGTTTTTGGGAGCAACCGAAAACTCTGGTGAATAAATACCTATTTCTACTTTCTCGCTTTTTTCATTTTGGCAAAAGCTGTTTGTTTCAAGTCGGCTGCCAGAACGCACAAGTGCTTTAGATTCCTGAGTGTGTTCTACTCCAGTGCTGGCTACCTGCAGTTCATCTTTTTCCACCTCTTCATGTGTCAGGCACAGATTTGTATAAAACTCACACTGAATTTCACAAGCTTCAATATCAATAGGTTTCTTTGGATTCTGAGATAGCCTAATGCCTTTAAAATTCTCTCCACTCCTGTCTTCAGTTACACTTTGGACTTTGACTACTGGGTAGTCAGGTAAACTTTCAATCTCTCCGGATTTAATTTCCAATGCATTTTTTTCCAAGTTAATTGCACTATTGATTAATTTTGTTATTTCTTCATCAGTGTTTGCTTTTGTATTCTGATAAGGAACCATAGTTTCTTCTGGGTCTCTTAAAAACTTGGATTCTTTCTTTATATATGGACTCTCCACTTGAGAAACAGTAGCTGATGTATTTGTGTTGTATTCAAATGCTCTTCCTGACTCTGAGTTTACATCATCTTCAACAAGCAAGATACCCTCTGGGCAATCACTTTCAAAAAAGGCTTCTTTCTCTTCTCTTGATTCAAGTAAAGATTTGTTCTGTATTTCTGTTTCCAAGAGAACAGTTGCATCAAATTCCACAGAAATGTCCGTCGTCTTTTGCGTACTGTTTTTCTGCCCTGTTGATTTTGAAGAGCATGTTGTGCAAAGGCAGCCAGAATGTACATCAGAACAATTTTCTGTGGCACTCACTTCGACAGTAAAATTAGATGTAGCATTGCAATCTCCTTTCACTATTGTGACATGCTCCAATAGTTTATCATAATTTTCAGTCTCAGATGCACTTTGAAAAAGATTAGCTTTTGTTGAAGCTTTGTAAAATATGCTTGAATTGGATTCTGGGAGAAAATCATTAGTACTCTCAGAAATAGCAGCAGGGAAGGACTTGGTGTCTTTCCCATTTACATTCACCATGAGATAACTTACTTCATTTACCACTAAGTTTTCATATTTAGATGAAAATTCTTTCTGAACTACAGCCTGAGAATTCAAGACATTGTGTTCTTTGCTTTCACTGCTTTCTTCTCTTACATTATCAATGCATGATGTAGAATTTTCTGAAATTTGTTGGGATAAGCAACTTGCCTGACTGTCTGCTAGAGCACATTCATTGGAATAATTTTTTGAAGCAAGTTTGCTTTTGAATTCATAATGATTCAGTGAAGACAAGTCTTCATCTTTTGGTTCATATTCTTCATTATCTATGAATGAAGGCACTTCTGCCAAGCTATCTGTGCTTGTTTCCATACAGATAATCTCTTTTTGAGACATCTCTATTGGCGTTGCTGATTGGTCATAACTTGTACTGTGAGCAACAACTAAAGGGTTACATTGATATGTTGTCTTCTGTGAGGAAAAATCTGTCTCTGTTGTTATTTTTTCTGCAGATATTTGTTCATAATCCGTTTCTTGCATTGTTTCCAAATTACTTTCCCCAGATCTGAGGAGATCTACTCTAACAGCTGATTCTGCTCTTTGTCCAGCCAATGTCTGAAGCTCATAACTACTTACTAGGGAGCAGTTCTTATTTGTTAAGTCACTGAGAAAGAAACCTTCATCACAAAATGTTGGTATTTCCCTTCTTGGAAAAAGCTGCCCGTGGTTTCCAAATTGGACTTGTTTTACTGTAGAGGTTGAGGTCACATTATGAGCAAGTCCTGTAGAAGATTCAGCAGCAGGTGCACTTCCACTGCCTGAATCTCCCATACTTGATTTTGCCATCAAGTTACTGTAGTCATCATCAAGGTCATCTTTTTCAAAAGTTCTGAAGAAATCATCTTCTAAATCTGCATCTACACAGCCATTTGTCTGCTCCAAAATGTGCACAGGCAACACAGAAATAAAAGGTGTTTTTTTCAGATTGTGATCTTTTGGCAGCTCTGGATGAGTTCTGGGGAGAGAATCATCCTCTTTCCTAGATACCAGTGACAAGCAGTCTGTGCTGGAGGTGCTTTCCAAACAGCTGAATGTTTGGGTGCATTCAGTGGTAGACCTAGAAGTAGATAATTCACTCAGCTGTTCTTGTTCAGGTTGATTTGACCTTGAATGTTCATAATAATCATGCTTTGCTGAAATAGGAACAAAAGAGGAGCTTGGTCCTACTGAGCTAACAAATGAGGACATTACATCTTGAGATTCCAAGGAAGAATTTTCATTAGAGTTTGTCCATCCCTTAAGAATCTTATTTAATGATCCACGGTCAGAAACTCTGCTTGCGGTTGTTGTTGTTTCAGGTAAAGGTACTTCTGATGTGTCAGAGGAGAAAACTGTGTTCATTTCATTCATACGATGTGATAAATGAGTAATGCTGTGTATCTGCTTAGAGCCAGAAACAAAAGAAACTTCAGCAGCTGACTGCTTTAGATCATCTTTCTTTAGCCAAAGCTCTGGTTTGCTCAAAGAGCAGAGATGAGCTTCTTGAAATTCCAAATTTTCAGGGGAAGAAGGTGCTGTTATTCTGGGGTTGCTGATGTCAAGCTTTGAGTCACGGGGAGACCAAGCATCAGTAATAAGCAAAGGATTTCCACTTGCATAATACAGTCTTCTATCAAGAGACCTCTCTTGTTCTACAAAGGAGACTTTTGTCCCTTTCAGCAACTTGTAAGCATTACTGGAAGCAGGCTGTGGTTTAGTGTCCAAATAGAAGGAACTGCTCAGCTTCAGATCATAATTTGTCCCTTCTGTATCTCTGTCGCAGGTCTCAGACTCATGGTCTTCCACAGTCTGTACAGCTGGTGATCTAGAAGTTTGCAACTTCCAAAAAATCTCTGCTGGAACTTCATCAGATGAATCAGATTTGGATTCTTCTACCGGATCTTCTGCTGGCATCTCTTCTCCATCAGCTAAGCTGTCCAGAGAAAAGCTTCTTTCAGGCTTTCCCAGTCTTCTACGAGATGCATATGATGTCACCAAAGATGAAATATGGTGATCAGTTCTGCTTTTGTAAAGCTTAGCTGGTTCATTGCGGGCCTTTGCCTTGTGAAATCGGCTTTTATTTTGCTTTTTTGCTTTATTTTCCTTTTCTACCAGAGAGTCTTGTGACATTTGACTGTCATCACTCTCAGAATCTTCTGGGTTGGCAAGACATTTATTTCTGTCAAAATCTTCTTGTTTCAGTTTCTCTGTGAAAGCTTTTACATAAGCACAGGAGAGAGAATCTACAGAATAGGAACTGTCAGTATCAGAAACCTCATTTTCATCATCCTCTTGCCAGTTCCCCAGCATATCTGTGGCTGTGATGGACACTCCAGCACTTAGCATCTCAGCACTGTGCCACTTTTTTTCAACGTAAGAAAGTGGTGCCTGTGTGTTCACCTTAGTGAGATTTCCTACTGAAGTTGCCACCATCAGAGATTCTTGCTGTTCCACTGATGATTTCTCATGACTTGGCAAGGCTGAGTTTGGCGCTCTCTTCCAGTTCTTGGCTGTTTGGTTTAGATGGGCTGATGGTGGGTTTCCATACACTGTTTTCTTCATTTCTTTAGGAAAGTTTTCTGGAGAAGACCCGTGGCCTTTTCCATTGATATCCATTCTAGTCTTTTTATTGGATACCTGAGCTCTATTTTGTTCTAGATTGCTACTTGCAGGTTGACTTAAATTTCCTAGCACCTTTGCTTTTGTCATTCTTGTTCCTGTAATAAAGGTTTCAGGCTCATCTTTCTCCTTAAAAAGATCAGGAGAGGAGCCATTAGAGGTCTGGTTTTGAGATCCAGCTTGCCCTGGGTTGTCATCCAACTTTTCAATTTTTTGATAATTTTTATTGATATAAGCCATGACAGCTGTATCATTAAAGTATTTTTCTACTCCTTTTTTATTTCCAAATGAAGGTGGTTTTTGTTTTTCAGTTAGCTGCCTCTGGACTGAAAAGGAGATCCTTTCTTCATCATTAAGGTCATCACTCCCAGAAATGTCTTTACCTCTTCTGAAAAGATATTCTACAGATGACAACCTCCCTGTTACACTGCCTTCACAGCATTGATCAATATTTGGTGAGGTAGATAACTTTGAGATAGTCTCCCTCTTCAACAAACAGCTGTGAAAATAAAGAAGAAATAAAGCCCAATCCTTGCTTGAATAATGAACTTAACAACACTTCCACATCAGTAATATCTTGCAGTTAAGAGTAACGATACATGAAGCAGCAATCTTAATGCCTCTCAAAAGCAAATTCTAGCAGAGAATAAAATAATACAGAAAAATTCTGTCAGTAGCCCCACAATCCCCTAGATATCCTGAAATATGTTCTGCAACATAAAGGAATAGCTCAATGCTACTGGTATAGCTTGGTATTTAGTCTCTGTAGGCTCAAGTAGCTGCAAATATTAGTTAAAAATAAAAGATGGTTCTAAGTCACAGAAATCCACTTAGCAGAGTTTAGCTACTTCCTGTCTCCAGGACCATGCTGCGATAGATGCCCTAGCACCCCAACTTTTTAGCATTGCGTAGAGATATTTATTTAGCTTGAGAAAGGCTGGCCAATGTAGAAATCCAATCCAGAATCACCTCAATGATACAAATATTCTGAAGGAAGAGTTTGACCCTAATCAAGATAAAATGATGCAGAAATTAGTATTTACCAACAGTTTGAACAAGGTAAGAACAAGAGTTAAGCCAGTTCTGGAAAGCACTGTCAAGGAGGTAAAAAGTGCAGAAAGGCTTGAGAGAGGAATGTAAAAAGACCATGTCAAAGTGCTAAGCAGAGGATGCACTGTACAGATCTGAGGAAAAACAGCTCCAGTGTGACATACAATATGGTAAGGTCACTGAGATTGCAAGCTTTGGGATTGTTTCAATGCATTGAAAGGCATTCTGGATTATAGGTGGCCACTGAAATATGCTGAATTTAAATTACTTTTGAAAGTGCAGAGGAATTGGCAGATGTTAACTTACCCGGGTACCTGGGGCAGACGTGGGTTACAGAACGAATGCTTCCTGTGCTGCAAGGAACTTGAACCACATGAATTCCTTCTCTTTTGCAACTGGTGATCCAAAAAGGACCGTACAGCAGTATTTTTGTTTAAGATTTGGGATTGTTTCACACACTCTTCATTGAGCCAGCAGCTAGCTTCCAGCTGCTCTAGGTTTTGCTTGGCTTCCAATAACTTCTGCTTCTTGACTATCCTTTCCAGCTGGAATTTGACCTTCTTCCGTCTTATGTTTCTTTCTGCCTTTTTTAAAGAGTATCTTCGCAAGAGCTCCAGCTGCACCAGTCTCTTCTTGTTCTGCTGTAGCAGGGAAGGGCAGATTTCCAGGCCAATGGTACTCTGCACCTCAGCCTCTGCACACAGCGTAGACTCTGTTTGCACTGCGAACTCCCTCTGCTGTTGCTGAAGGGCAGCCAGTCGTTTATTCTCATTTATAAGCCATTGCTGGTCTGTAAATAAAACAATGATTGAAAGAAAATAAAAATAATAGGAAAAACATTGTTCATTACTATCTTGTTTCTTAATTTAATCAGCCTTGAGAGCTTATTTGAGAACATAATTTCTGTGCATGTAGCAGAGTCTTGACAAACCATTTAGAGAAAAATGTGTCATTGCTTCACTTTATCGATAGCTGAAAGCCTCTCCATTGGGATAAGGACTCGGGTAACAACTGCAAGATATAAACAGGGGCTTGGCTGATACAGCTAAGGAGATGGGTGGATAAGACCTTGTTTGTAAGCAAAAAGTAGAACACATTTCAATTTCTCAAAGATCACACTCAAACGCCACCTCAATTTTGTTGTTAAAATACAACGGAAGCATTAAAAGGCCTGAGTTAAATTCTGTGCACTTTTCAGACATAAGGTATATATTCACAGTAGTGAAGTATGACCTCATTAGCTTTTCACTGTGAAATATGCTACTGCTTTTTTCTGCTTAATTACTCTGTCACACGTTGAACTTTGTGTGTGTTACTTAGGGAATGAATGTATGTGCACTAAGACCACAGTTAACAAGGGAATTGGAAGAGGAAGTTGTACAGAGCTAAACGGACCCTCTGTGTTAATGCAGCAAACAGAATTTCATGCACATGCTAATGAGCCTTTAGCTAATAAATTCCTACATTTCAAGTGAAAAAATAAGCACTTCTGCAATCTTAAAATGTTACTGGCTTCTCATCACAGAATTTGAGTGTTTTACAACTATTCTAACAAACATTTCTCTTTGTGCCTTTTGCTCTGATCCTTTCCTCCTTAACTTGACTGAACCAACAAAAACCACTTGCAAACTATTTTCTCTCACTTACCCAGGCAGCATGCTGAAAATGAGGGAGCCCAGAGTCATGCTGAGGAGCTTTGTCCTGCTCGCCCTTATCAGCAGCAAGTTCAATAAGCCTGAAGGACAGACCTCTCTACGCCCCAGCTGGGATGTGCCTCATTTGTGGGGGCAGCTGCCAGCTACCAGTCCTGTGATGGGCATGCACCCTTCAAAGTGGGTTGAAGGCAAGGCTACAAGGAAGCCACCATATAGGTACCTGCCGGACAGTCCCGCCAGCCTCTTTAAACCCATCAGATGGAAACTTCCAAAGCAACATAAACCCTGTGTAGCACCTGGCTGAGGTAGAACCACCACAAATTTACTACCTGTTGCAACTATGGCCACTCCAACGAGCACTTGCCAAAACAGCCTGATGGGAGCCCACATATGTTGTACATGAACATTTTAGCGTGTAATGTACTTGAAATAAATCAAATACTTTTATGGCAAGGACACAGCACAACGCTGAAGCCAGCACAACCTCTAGCTATCAGGACGAACGTAATTCAAAAAAGACAAGCTCATGCCATCTGTCAATGCATATTTTTCATAAAATCACCACTCTACTCCACAAAGAGAGTTAGCTTCTCTGCTTTTGTTAATGTCATCTGTATTTCATAAATGCTAAATATGCTCACAAGCCAACTGATTAACCTCATTTGAAAATAAAATATGTTACCTCTGCTTACACACTTAGTCTTCTCTAAATATTCAGACCTGATCTTTGCAGTCAATGGGGAAGCAGCAGGGAACACAGAACACCAGGTTGATTTGTTTTGAACCCTGAATGCAAGACTACTTTATTTCATGCAGGGTATGTGCTTAGAGGTTTTTCAGAGTGTACTGACTTCAATCTGAGCTATGATGAACTGTAACAATCAAAAGAAGGGATTATTTAAATCACCACTACCAGATTGTGTCTGATGGCTTGGACATGTTCTCTTAACGAAGCAGAGTTTGTTCATTTTTATGCTGCTATAAAAATATACATATTCAGCTGCACAAAGCAAGCAAAAAAATATCCTTAGCTGAAAAAACAATGTAAAAATCACAGGCAAGGTTCCTTGACAAGTAGAGCATTTCTCAAAGGACCAAAGCTTTTCAAAGCACTTCTGTCTTACTAGCAGCAACATGTTTTGGCTGGGCTTACCTTCAATCTGCAGTCCTTTACTGAATAAACAGCCTTTTGTTGCTTATTGTCCTGGTTTCAGCTGAGATAGAATTAATTTTCTTTCTAGTAGCTGGCATAGTCCTGTGCTTTGGATTTAGTATGAGAATAATGTTGGTAACACACTGATGGTTTTAGTTGTTGCTAGGTAATTGTAGTGTCCACACTAAGTCAAGGACTTTTCAGCTTCTCACATCCTGCCAGGTATTATTATTATTACTACTACTACTATTATTCTCTTGCTTTGTTATCCTATTAAACTGTCTTTATCTCAACCCACGAGTTGCTTTTTTTTCCATTCTCTTCCCCATCCCCTTGGGATCGAAGGGTGAGTGAGCGGCTGCGTGGTGCTTAGTTACGGGCTGGGGTTAAACCATGACACTTATTCAGAGGGTTAAGAATTAAGGTGTTTTTAAGTCTGATGTGATGAATGAGGGCTACCTGCAGCTCCACACAGCCGAGCTGCAAAAGGGGAATTTTGGACTGTGGAATTTTCCCTGATGTAAGAAATCATCAGTGCGTAGGCATTATCAGCATCACTTGCTTGGTGACCACTGATCTTGTTAAATGTACATTAGTGATCCCCACCACAATGAGTCTCCTGTCCTGTTCTGTTGGCAGCTCTGCACACAGCACATGCACAGAAGTAGGAAATCTATCGTTACTCTATGGATAAAAGGGAAGCATTTTAGTCATTATTTTAGTTAATTTTTCTTAATATTTTCTTAAATTTCACAATACGAAGCTTTTTTGTCAACTCTTTATTTCTAGATCTGTCCTCTTTAGCATGTTTTTAGCAAGCAGAATATTTGGCAGATAAGAGTTTCCCTGCAACAGAGCTGCAAACTCTAAAATGCTAATTAATCTCTGCTTGCAAACTTGCCTCTGTCAGGAGCTGAGACACAGAGGGTGCAGAAAAGGTGGTGAATTTTGGAGGGTTGCCAAGTGAAGAATAGTATTTGGCTGGCAAAAACTACCTGCCTGGCTAAGCTTCACGAGAACAGTGTGAAAGCAGCAGAACTAGATGGAAACAGAGGCACAAAATAAAGATATTTTGAGGGAACTCTCCTGGTTCTCTATACTATCTACATATCCTAAGCCCATTTCTGCTACATCCCATCATCACAATTTCCTTTTAATCTCTTCATTGTGGCTGACATAATTAAAAGATAGCAGACTGCATAAATTTGGGTCTGAGAAGCTTCCAAAAATTCACAGTTTTCTTCTTCCAGGAACCAATAGCAGGTTTTGCCAAGTGGGAACGATGCCTTTGTCATAGGCATACTTTGCTTATCAAGAAACCTAGATGAAATAATTCAATAGAAGACAAACTAGAGAACACTATAACCACCCAATTTCAGTGGTCAAAAACATCTCAAGGATTAAAATGTTCCCAAATCAGTCTATAAAGTCATTATGGGCAGCCCAACCCCACCAAGACATCTTGCTGAGTATGTCTGACTGCATGCAAAGCAGCACCTCTGGAGGCTAGGAGCCACTGACACTAGAAAATACCTCCCCAAATACTCTGTGGCTTCACCTTCTGACATAGCTATTTGCCATTCAAAATCTGACCAGTGATCTAGCCTTTAGTACTCTTGCATTAACACTGCAAACTTCCTAGGAATAACTCCTATTTCAACCAAAGCATGCATCTCTCTTTTTAATCCAGTTTTGGTTTAAAACAAATTCAGTCATGGAGAATTCAATACCACTAATTAATCATCTTCAGTGTAAATAAAGCCTGCATCTTATTTTTAATCTTAATTTGTCGCACTTCAGTTTCTGTCACTGAATAGCTTCATACAGCTTTCATGCAGCTTCATACCATAAAAGGGTGGGGGT